GTTCTGTCTAAAAAGAGATTATTATTTATATAAACCCTCCTTGATTCGATTCTGTATTCATAATGCACAACATGTAACTTTAATGTTTAATACTAAAAGCTTTTATTGAAAAGATGTGTTCCTGTGACAAAACTACATGAAGAATCCAAAAAAAAACACACAACACAAAAAAGCAATAGAAAAAGAGAGTCACACAGTGACTGACTGTTGTTGCACCAGATAAACTCCATTTACAGAGTTCGAGTTTTGAGCTTGCAAATGTGCAATGGTGGTGATCATATTCTCAAATCTTGTTTCCTCTCTTCTCAAGGAATCTTCAACATCTGCTTAAGAGACCATTGATTTGCAATTTCAGGATTTTTGTTTACTTGTTCAAGATCTACTACTCAAGGAACTAGTTCTTGTCCAAAAAGCAAGGAAACGGAACAGAGCTTGGAGGTGGAGAAACTGAACAACCAGCACCGGCATAATCTCTGACGAGGATTAAAGCTCCGATTTGATTCTGCACAGGTCGTCTTGTATCATTATCTCGATCGACGTTCTTGTTCCGAAACTCGCTCAATGACTCGCCACGCTTTAAGATCTTGACTTGTCCCATAACAAGATTGGTCTTCATAGCCGGAGATACAACCACCGTTCGCTTTCGTCGGCAAGGAGCCATCTTGTGGCGTGAGTTAGGGTTACGGTGGATTAGGGTTTCGTGATCGAATCGATGGGTTAAAGAGTCTCGAGAAGAGAGAATCGCAGTCGCCATTGCTTTAGCTTTTTGATCTAGAGAGTAATGAAGTACATGTGTTTATATAGCCCGTGACCGACCGACCAATAAATTTAGGGTTTTAATGTTATTTTAAATTAGGGTTTTACTTCTATAATCCGGTTTAGTTTAGGGGGGTTTTCCACATATTAAAAATAGTGTATGGTTTATAACACTAAGCAGTTTTTGAAATACATAATAATTGGATGGTTTTGATTTACACAACAAAAAAAAAAAGAAAGGCAAGAATCATGAGAGAGACTTTGTTTTCTTGTAATGTTTTAAGAGGAAACTG